GTGTTGTCTCTTCCAACAAGTTTTAATGGATGCCGAGAATCGATCTGTTTGCCCTCCTCCACTATTCGCGCCGGCTATTCGTTTATTTATATACGTCGAATTTCTATTTTGCCACATCATTCTGTCGCGCGGCTTGCGTTGTTCGCACGAACGAACATGACGATTTTTTTTTTTAATTATGATAAATAACAATCGTCCCTTCGAATTGCCGTCCCTTTAAATTATTCAAAGTGGGATTTTTCTGTTTTTTTGTTGCAGGTACGAGGATTGTTAGTTCTTGGACGATTGTCGTCGCGTCGGTGAGCCATCGTCCCATCATCATTTTCGTTCTCGATCATTTTTTCCTGCGAACAAAGATCCTTCTCCTCCTCCCCTCTCTCCTCTTCCCCTCTCCAGAATTTTCGTAACACTCGTCGAATCGCCGATTTCGACCATTTATTCGCGTCAATCCGGGGAATTTTTTTTTTTTCGCAAATAAAATGAAAAAAAAAAAAAAATGAAAACACATTTCCGGGACAAACTTGATTTTTNGAAAACACATTTCCGGGACAAACTTGATTTTTCCGGCAATGACGTTCGCCGTATACCAATTTCAATTCCCCCCCCCTCCCTACTTCGTTACCCCCAATAAAAAAGGATGAAATTATTTTTTGATCAAAAGAGTTTCTCGATTCTGCGCGTGCAACATCGTTCCGCAACATTGTTCGGACGTTATCGTTAATTTACAACCTCCCTCTCCCCCCCCCCTCCCCTCTCCCGGAAATCGAATCCTGTCGTCCGCACAACCCGACCAACAAAACGTTTGAACGCACTGATCCCATGCAATATTTACGAAACGATCGGAACTCGTTCGAAACGAAATTTTTTTCGAAATTTTCGCCGGATTCGCGGCGAAAGCGGGCAAAATCGCGAAAGGAGAAAAGAGGAAAGAGGGGGAGGGAGGGAGGGAAAGGGAAGGGTTTCGATTTTGGGAAAAATTCTCAAGGGGGAAAATTCTCATTAGAGCGCGAATGAGGGGAGGGGAGGAAGGCCACACTACTCGAAAAACTAATGAGTCGGTTTCGTAACGAGCTCGCATGCGATACGCGGCGTGGAATGGAATATCGGTTGCGTCTGACTGTTTGCACACCCAAGATATTTCGGCTTTGTTAACGGCCGATTTTTTTTTTTTTTCTTTTTCTTTTTTCCACGATACACGATAACGAACGAGAAAGTTATGTAACTGTCTCGCGAGGAGGGGAAAAAAAAAAAAAAAAAAAAAAGGAATGACGTGTAGATTATCAGAGGGAGGGGGAGAATGTTTTTTTGTCGCGGCAAGATAAATTAACTGTCTCCTTTCTACGTGGCGTAGTCACGAACACTGGATATGAAAAATGGTGGCTCTTGATGGTCGCTTTAAATGAATTAGGCGAGGAAGCCTAAGTACTTGCATCGATCGCGAGTGGGAAGGGAAATATCCTCGATCGAATATCCTCTTTTGTGAAAAGAAGAAGAAAAAAAAAATAATAATACGAAAGTGAAAATTTATTTCGATTTGCGACCTTCTGTTTATTGGAGACGATATTATTATTTTTAATAACAAAAATTTAATCTTGGATGTGGATTAGTATCCTCCTAGACTTGATCGAGAATATTTTTCTGTACGAAACGAAATCTAAATATTTATAGAGGTGAATACCATATTGCTTCGTGAAAAGTTTATCACTGGAAATTCGACATCGTATGTATATATATATTAGAGCTTGATTTAATTTAATTTAGTTTCGTTTTCGAAAGCACGTAGTTTCGTTTGCAAAGCAGCAAGAGGATATTGGAATTATGATATTAAGATTATGCGTGAAAAATATGCAGAGGAAAAAAAATAATCGTTTATAAATAATTCTGTCGGCTCGTCGATGATTAATCTCCACGAGATTGAAAGAAAATGTTAATTTTACGTACCTTCCCTCTGCCAATTTCTAATTGTGGATTGCTGCGCAAATTGGAATTTTGCACCCTCCCTCCTTTTTTTTTTTTTTCC